TCAGATTCCAGACCAATTTTCAGCACTGCTTTCATAGTGTGGTTACTATGAAAGAGTATTTTCTTGTTTGTCTGTTTTTATAACTGATATTCTGCTTTTCTGTTCATAAGGTATTCAAGGCAACTAGCAACAAAACAAAACAGATCTCAATAAAATCACATAGATTAAAACCCAGGCTAGTTTCTTCTTGAACTTAATGCATATAGCCACTTGATATGTATGAGAAACATCTATGGCTTGGAAATCATTGTTGTCCATTCTAAGCATGTGAAAACAGGTACAATTTTTCATAAGGCTTCTTTCTCTTTATTTTTTATTTTATAATGTAAGTTGCTGAGAATCATCTGGAGTCAGGCAGCCTCTAAATGTAATAAAATAAGTAAATAAGGAGCACCTGAGAAGGTGATGGAGACAGCTTTCATCACCATCCTGATGACCATAGTTATTAATGAAAGTAAGTCAGGAATGGATCTTGATTAGGCCTTCAGAGACATATCCTGCCTGTGTCAGGTTACGTGCTTTGTAAACATAGGTAAGAGTTTTGTCATACTAAATTCCTGCATGGAAGATGAGGCTATTTGGTGACCTGAGTAATAATAATTGTTGTAATCAACAAATCAAGGTTTTCCCCAATGTTTTCCTGTTATTCTTCCCCCTTCTGTGTCTTATTAAGATACAAAGCTGTACAACGGCACACAGATTTAGTTCGGGCGAATAGGTGGCAACCAATAAACTAGATTGAGAGAAGGGACGGGAAGGAGTAAAACTGTTGATGAAGACTAATAGAAGGCAATGATGCTACACTGGCGTAGAACAGGAGAGGAAAGGAGCCATATTTTGGATCTGGGTATGTGCCCTGGTAGTAGATAGCACAGGAGGGGGGGAAAGGGCTATTACTTATGAAGAATAGATGAGATGGTAAAAAATAAAGAATGACATTTACCAAGGCACAGTAAAAAAACAGAACAAAAACAAAATAATTATAAATCAATCCAGTACAATTCGCTCAGGACCCAGTAAACAAATATTAACACTGAAATAGCCATACAGCAACAACAGATTTAAAACAATGCTCTGGAACAGCATGAAGTGTATAAACAACTATCATAAATTAAAACAGGTGTTAACCTAGACCTACCAGCTAAATAAGTGCAAAATGGAACAACCAGACCGTACCCTAACTCATATAAAAAGGTCCTTAAACCCCCTCAAATTCCCACCAAGTCAAAGGGAGTTGATTCCAGAGGCATGGGGCCAGGTCCTAAAGGCCAGGAGCCTGGAGACCACAATCTCAGAACAAGCAACCAAAAGAAGACCCTACATAAAGAAACATAAAGAATGAACGGGGCTGTAGAAAGAAATAGCAGCAGAGAGATAATGGGGAATTTGTTTCCAGAGGGCTCCTATTACAAGCACCAGTGGTGGGCTCTGGCTAGTATAGGGAGCTATGAATAACCCTTCTTTTCCTGGGCAATACTGTACTATGCCTGCCAACTGGGGGGATTCTGTGCCAAACTAGTTCCCCAGGGCAATAATCATTTTTTCCTGAAGATACTACTGTTACATCAGATGTATGTAGTGGCACTATATTATTGTTACTGCTGCTCCTGGTGTTACTTGATTTTGTTAATTTTTTTCATTCCTTTTCAACAAATGAAACTCAAGCAAAATATAAGTCAGCACTTAGAATCCAGGCAAGCTCGTCTGAGAAAATGAAGCCTTGCTCATGGGCTTTCTTTAGAGCTTTTAGTTTTTTGTGGGTAGAATTTTACAAGAATTCAGTCAATGCCACTAGAGTAATCCCTTCCCTAGCGGTACACTTCTGCTGTTTACACAGATTGAGCTGGACAGCCTATTAAAAGAGGGAGTAGACAGGTCTATATCCATTTTGGGGTCTAGTTTAGGAGTGACCCCCCCTTTTTTTTTTTATGGTGGGCAAGATTCCTTCTGAATAATCTGTTGGGATTTGCATGCTGGCAGTACATAGGGCCAAAGCCTGAAGTGGGATTTGTTTAGATATTTTAGATACCCTCTCTTTCACCACACCATTTCCTCTTCCCAGTACTGCTGGCCCTTTTATTTGAAAGGGTAGCCAGAAAGGGTCAGATAGCTCCTGTTAGGGGGAAAGAAATCACTATTAACCAATTACTTGTAGAGAGCTTTTGAAATTAGGCAGAGGTTTGCCCACCATCCTAACTTTTGGGTAAAAGAGTTTGAAATATCATTGGCAAATAAGACTTGGAAAGATGGTTCCTGAGATATCTTTGGTGGCTTCAAGAATGCAGAAGTAGAAGCTCAAGACTTTATTTCCTCTTTCTGACTCACTTGTCATTCAGTTAACAGTTCTTCAAATAACTTTCAGAAAGTTAATGTTCTGTATCCAGCCAATATATATATATATATATATATATATTATACAGCATACACTGAACAGCACAACCATGTAGCTGGCATTGTGTACAGGAACATCTGCACAATGTATGGGCTAGAACTCCTAAGTCCAGATAGGAGATTCCACAGAAGGTTGTGGAGAATAACAGGGCTAAGATCCTGTGGGACTTCCAGATCCAGATAGACAGGCAGGTACTAGCCAATTAACCAAACATTGTGGCAGTAGACAAGGACTAGAAGACAGCAGTTGTAATAGATGTAGAGGTCCCAAATAACAGCAACATCAGGAAGGAGTATGAGAAGCTGGAGAAGTACCAGGGCATGAAGGAGGAACTAGAGAGGATGTGGACAGGTAAGGTAAGGTAAGGTAAGGTAAGGTAAGGTAAGGTAAGGTAAAGTAAAGTAAAGTAAAGTAAAGTAAAGTAAAGTAAAGTAAAGTAAAGTAAAGTAAAGTAAAGTAAAGTAAAGTAAAGTAAAGTAAAGTAAAGTAAAGTAAAGTAGCTGTGACTCCTAAGCTGGGAGAGTGTCTCCAATAGATCCCAGGAACAATATCAGAAGAGTGCAGTGCTAGGAACAGCTAAGAAACTGCATAGAACCCTCAAACTCCCAGGCCTCTGGTAGAGGACCCAAGATAGAGGAAGATACATATCACCTACAGGGCTGAGAGGGGATATATATATACATATACATATAATATATGCCCTCTTGACCATGTGACTCAGGGTGGCTAACAAAAATTAAAAACAGGAAATAGAACAGAAAATTAAAACACATTGCACAGAAGACAGTTCATAATTTAAACAATTAGAACAGAATCACATAATTTCTTGACTCAGAGCAGAGTGTAACATATAATAGCTTGTAGTGGGAGATTCTAAACAGAAACTCTTTCAGTGTTATCCTAGAGGGTAGTTTTATTATTACAAGAATACTTCGGGGACATTCGTAAAATAACATATTACAATAGCTGCAGCTGTACCACAGAGACACAAGACTTGGCATTAAATTAGGTTCAGCTCTTTTTTAAAAAAAGAAGTCTGGTTTTACCTGCAGGCGTGTGAATGCTTGTATTTTCCAACTGTTCTTACTTACCAGGGACAGTCCCTAATTTGGGGAAACTTTTGCTGGTAAATCACTGTTCTTATTTTGGCTTTCACGAGGCTGGGGGGCTGGCTGCCTTTTTAAAATAAATCCAGGATATAAGCCCCTCCTGGAGATAAGTTGCAGAGTCAGAATTTTTTTTTTTAAAGTGCATTTGAATGAGAACTAAATGATGGGTTGATGACATGATGTGCTTGTGTATTTGGATTTGACTCTGGCAAACATCTCTTGAAGGTTTGATTCTATTTAAGCCCTTAAAAACCTATCTGAGCAGAAGTTATTACGGCACAAAGAGTGTACAACAATGGTGCATAAAAGGCACTCCACCTCATTATACTTGCTAGTCCTTATGATTTTTGTAAAGAATGCTAGATGAAATAAGCTATTATTTCATTCTTTTCTATTCTTAAGAAAGATCAATACTTAGATCAATTATAGCTTTAGTGGTAAAAGATCCTGTGTTCCTTTTGTTACATTGTAAACTGAAATCATCTAAATTCACCTTGCAGATTCAATGACTGGATTCACACATTGTGCTAATTTTTAAACCATGGTCTGCTGAATGAACAATAATTGGTTGGGTTCACATAATGGACTAAGCTATAGTTTTAAATCACAGGGGCTGGGTCCACATAATCCACCAAATCAAAATTAAGCAAACAGCACCCTGGTTGCTCTTTAATGCCCTTTAATAAGGTCACCTTGAACTGAAATAGTCATTTGTAGGCATATCACCACCACCACCACCACCACCACCTTTGTATTTGTACATTTGCCTTGAACTTGTATTTTTACCTTGTATTGTATTACCCTACTATCCATCATGCTGGAATGCAGAAGAGGTGGCAATTAAGAACTAGACATCACGTTTTTGGGATAGCAATAACTGCATTTGACTGGGTCATATTACCTGCAAAGGGCAGTGCCAAGAGATCTATATTTTCTGGCTTTTGAGGATGGCTTTTTATTTCTTCTCTTTGCTTTTCAGTGTGGTTAATGTGGCCTCTCTCTTTGAACCATCTTTAACCAAGATGTTTGCAGGTTTACTGAAGACTTGGTGCAGCATAGTAACTAAGAAGATGGATAGCTATAGATTTTTTTTAGGAAAAAAAAAGTGCCTGCCTGAATAAAATCATCTTCAGAAACCGTTTCAAAGCAGATGAAGAAAGTATGATTAGAACTTCCCATGTAAAACAGATCCACAGTTTTGATATCACACCTGAAAGAATATCTTGTTTCTGCCCCAGATCTAATATCATCAAAGAAGGGATAAAATACAGAACACTGTAACAGTGTTTTATAGCATGGTTTTCAGGTGGTTGTTTTCTTAGTAGAAAGTAAGGTTCAGTAATCTGGCATAGGCTAAAGGCAGACCTTATGTAGTAGGTTTACCACCAGAGGTTACTTGTAAACTGAAAAGTATGCAAATTAGAAAGGACAAGCATGTTTCTTTATCCGGAAATGTAGTCAGCAGGAAGCAGTGAAGTTTCAGTGGCTGTGAGCTCAGAGACTCTGCAAAGTATGCAGTGTCCATGGGGCTGCCTACCACAGTTGGTGGCTCTTGAGGTATCCAAAGATTTGTGCTGGGATCCATACCTGGGGGTCCTGCTGAGGACTTCACCATGGCAGAGCCTCAACCTTCTGGTAGGTGAAGCTACCTTCTCATTTTTTTATGCAAGGACTTTGAAGCCCCTTTTTAGCATACATCAAGCCACTGCAGAGGATTACTCTTGACGGTTAGGGTGTCAAAGGATTGCTTTGGGGCATTCGATCTCTGAAAGTAAAGCTTGGTTCAGTGAGACTACCACATTAATCAAGGCTAGAGAAGGCTGTAATTTTTTTTCCAGAGTTGACATTGGTACAAAAGAGAAGCTTTTGTTGTATACTGTGTGCAGATATTCTCAGAATGAATAGGCTTTTTCATATTTTGGATCTCGAATCTGTAAAATGTATTTGACTAGAGATAGATGTGGGCCAAAATTTATGGCTGTGTGACAACAGCTGTATCATATTAAAGAGAGCCAAGTCCATCTCTAACCAACATCAGTATATGTTCCTTAACTAAAAGAACAAAGCTATCTCTGTGTTCTTTTCAGCTGAACTTAGAAATATGCATCAATCACTTCAGAAATCATTGTTGTATCTTAATAGTATGTTCTGAGTTAAGGTGATGGCTCAAAATGCACTTAACATTGAAAAAAAGGAGCATTTTATCTTTAGGATCAATAACTATTTTTAAAAAGTTGACAGTTACGTTCTCTCTCACATTTAATTGACTGATAGATATGTACAGTAGTTGGAATCTACTTTAACATTTAAAACTCTATTCTATACATTTTCTGTTACAAATCCAAGAGTTATAATGTGACATTGAGATTTTTGAACACTTGTTTGAATTATCTAGAAAATCTTTACAAATTTGGTTCAGCATGAGACGTTTTAGAAGAAAGCATTCAAACAACCCATGAAGTGTTATAGGGTGATCAGTCTCTGTCAGCCATGTTCAGAATTGTAATTTGTGGAAATATTCATTTCCTGACAGTTTTTTTGCCCAACAGCATGATATAGTGCACATGCCTGCAAACTGAATGGAACATTATCATTGAAAAGAAAACAAATATTGTGTTGTACAACTGCATGACATAAGAGAGGATCTTCTGTACCCAAGAGCATGCTTACACTACAAATATTGTTCCATATGCTAATCCTGCCGCTATATTGGAGGGGCTGGTGTTTTTTCCTTTTTTGTTATTGTGAACCGCCCAGAGTCACCCGTTGGGGGAGATGGGCGGCATACAAGTTTAATAATAAATAATAATAATAAATAAATATTGTGTGCCAGCAACAAATGTGTCTCATGAAAAGGAGCTTGTAAGAAACTAGAAATAACTTAGGAGGAAAGAAATCATACTCAGTTCCTTTCCAAAGATTGCTACCCTCCATCTGATTTGGGGGAAATTTATTTTCAGTTCCTCTTTTGAGATCCTGAGAGATGGCCCTATGTCGTGTACATGAGAAAGTAACTACCAAAATACTAGAAGCAAAAGAAAATGACGTCATCATAACCGATCTATTTGTAACTTGTTAATTAAGAGTTTAAATATTAAACTCTTAATTAACAAGTTACAAATAGATCGGTTGTGATGACATCATTTTCTGCAAAGGCCCTCACACTGCAACTCTCAAAGATTAATGAGAAAGGAACGGTTGTCTATTGTTGGATGGAGCACAAAGTTTTAAGAATTAAAAATGGATCATGCTTGTGCAGATGCTATATATACACAAGACGAAATCAAGAGATACTTCCACATAGTCACCATTGCCATTCCTCAACCCTTATTAATTAGTTTCCCAACAGGCCGTGATTGTCTTCACCACAGCTATTGAGAACTTAAAATAAGCCAAGCAGCAATTCCCAGCTAATCAAGTGGAGAGTGTAAATATAGACATCCAGCTAGTAGCTACCTTTTTCTTTGCTTTTCTGTATTATTGACTAAAAAAAGAAGAAACAAAGCAGTTGGTTCTGGTGAGAGGAATTGTAAACTTGCTCCTTCGTTCTATTTAGGAAGCTCAATGTAAGAATTCTGTGGCAATATGGCAACTTACTAATTACGTGTGTGTGTGTGTGTGAGACAACTGAGGAAGTAGGAAGTGGGCTAAGCAGGAGTTTCCCCAATGAAAAGCCACTTATTGCTAAGCTCTAGAAGCAGTGTTTCTCAAACTTGGCCACTTTAAGATGTGCGGACTTCAACTCCCAGAATTCCCCAGCCAGCCATGGCTGGCTGGGGAATTCTGGGAGTTGAAGTCCGCACATCTTAAAGTGGCCAAGTTTGGGAAACACTGCTCTAGAGAGCTCCAGCATTCTCATTTCTGTAGCTGAAGCTTTGCCATCCTTCCTGAGCTATACCTGAACCAGAAGGAAATATGCTCTGCAATCATGGCAGAAAAGGACAGAGGTATGATTCTAAGCTATGACTGATACTAAAGCCCCAAAGGGTTTACTTTTAAAATGGGTTGGTTATCTTACATTCATTTAGAATATGATATTGGCAGACAATTTTTTTTCTATGTTTTTTTCCTGTTTAGGTAGAAATTGTTTTAATTTCAAAATAATTCAGATAAATATAGTAAGTACTTGGTACTTAAAGATTAGAATGATACAGTATATGAGCAGGTGCAGAAAAGTGGCCTATGTGAGCCAATGTACTTTGCTTCTGTTTGGATATTACTGTTTTATACTTCAAGACATTTCATGTTTGGCATATCAAGGTATTTGATGTATCAAGATGGCCAAATACTATATCAGGAACAGTTGATTTCTGTTTTCTAATAAGTAGTGCAAATCAAGACTAATTTGAAATATCTTGACATCAAGCCATTTGAGGCAAAATATTAGCCTCAAATGGCCCATCTGCAAAATGTACTTTATTTTTTATTTATTTAAAATACAACAGTAAGTTTTCATGACCCATCATCCCCCTATTCCAATAGACAGACGGGGAAACTGAGCTTTGGATTCAATTGTTGTTTATTTGTAAAATATGGATGCTATGTTGAAAGAAACATGTTGTGGAAATGAATGGAAAAATTATAAGAAGGAAAAGGAGGTGCTTTACTTTCTATGTTAGATGGGTTGGGTCTTCAGATAATTCTTACATAAGCATATTTATAACTCCCACTGGCTTGTTTTCCAAAACACAGTAATCCAAGACCAAAGGTACCAAATTATGGCTTAGTACTGAATCGCTATAATTGGTAAATTACAGATTATGGTTGGTTGTTGTACAATCCTAGTCAACTAATTTAATCATAGACATAATGGTTATACAAACCATAACTTAGCACAATGTGTGAACCAGATTGTAGATTCATTCATACAATGTTCAACCAATATACTGAATAATTCTTGATCTTAGTTCAGACCAGCATTGGACTGTGTAAGGATATAGGCCTGAGTAAAACAGACCATGGCCTTTTCCGAATGGATGTTTTTACAGTTTATTTGTGCTCGGCAAGAAGGCAGAAGTACTACTTCCTCTTCTTCTCCCTCTTACCTCATTTCACAGAAAATATCAGAGTTCTAAAAAAAAGAAAAAAATCAGCATCTTTCCTTCATTAGAACATGACTTCCAGTTCAGACCTGACACATTCAGAATAATGTTGACACTAGCAAACGAATGCTCAGAGCATAGTGTAGAAGGTTGCTTCCCCTATTTATATAATTCTTATATGGGTGAAAATCCTTCCATATACAAATGAATGTATATTCCATATATGGGTCATGGCATATGAAAACCATCAGACATTACCATCAAGAAGTTTAGGTTTAGGTGTTAATTTCTATGCAGACATTAGGGGTATTCTTTAAAAATAAGACAATTTCTGACAATTCACTAATAGACAACTTCCCAAGAATAGGATGGAAAGCAACAACAAATAAAAACAACAAAAATAAATTAAGCTATTTCATGATATTCTCTCAAGAACCTTTGCGGCCCTTAAATGGTGCTTAATATGGGGATTTGGCAAAAGCAAATCTTGGAAATCAGTAGGTACATGATCATGTTTAAGGAAGAATAAGATGGAAATATGAAAACTGAGCCAGGTTAAAAATATGTACTACTGTATGGACAGAGTAAAAGGAATGACTGTGGATATACTATGGTTTGAGTTGCTTGAAAATGCATACAGCAGGTATAGATGAGAGTAAGTCCTTTGTGTGTGAGAGAGAAAGACACAGAGATTTCCAAGAATAAGGAATAATTTCAGAATGCAAGCCCTTCCTCTCAAGGTATAGACAAGGAATATATTGAAATACATAATGAAAACATTGAGTTAAAGAGTACGAACTCAACTCTTCTTGGTAAGAGAATCTGTCTGGTAATAAAATATTATTCATGTTATAAACTACCTTCATTGCTCATGTAATTTATATTTCTGCAACTATACTTTTCAAATACAGAATGTGATACAAAGAACAGCATTTTGCATCCTAGCATTTCAGCTTCCTTTTCTTCCAGTTAATATGTCTCTGGTCCTCATATTTACAAATAGCAATGTGGAAGCTTCAGGATGCAATTTGGGGAAATCTTAAATAAATAAATAAATAAATAAATAAATAAGTGTGTATGCTGCCCAATTCTCAATGACTCTGGGTGGCTCACAGCAATCAAATAACTTTCTAATAGTAAGATTTGTAGTAATTTCAGTACCTGCAACACTATTCATATCCAGAAAAAGGAAGGAAGGAAGAAAGAGGGAGGGAGGAAGGGAGGGACAGAGAGGAAGGAAGGAAGGAAGGAAGGAATCAATCAATCAATCAATCAATCAATCAATCAGGTCAACTATGCATGGTCACAAAAAAAGTAAGCAATCTTTCAAAGCTGTCCTCCAAGATTTGGCATTTCTTTATTGTAAGTAGCAATTTTGTGAAGACAAAATTAAATATAAGCCCCCTTTTCTTCCAATTAACATTCATTCTGACAATTTGCATAGTTCTATAGGAAGGCAAGGAAGAGATAACATCCAACTGGGGCAGAAGGTCTTAGAGAAGTGCTGGCTTTTCTTCCGTCCGATGAATAAGCTTCCCATTGCTGCTTGATGAAGCAACCCTTTTAAGACAACCACATCCTGTTTCTGAGGGA